TTTTTAATATAAATTTATAATAAAAATATATTTATTATAATATTAAGAGTTTAATTAAAAAAACCTAATTTATATTTGGAGAAAGCCTACCCTTAAACCTTTTATACTATTAATTTGCTTACATGACAGCTCATAAAATACCAAAGGTTCAAACTCATTTTTAAACTCTAAACTTTTATACAGAGCCTGTTTCTAGTCTTTAAAATTTTTTTTAATCTTTAAAATTTAAAAATTTGACCTCTTTTAATTTCTATGTAACTTTTGGCAAAAATCTCGCAATGCATGTGGCGTGTTCAATTGACGGAATTTCCGTATTTTTAATTAATATGATTGCGTACATTTCCAACAACAACCAAATTACCCATTTATCCTCATCATCTTTCCCTATCATCTTGTTCTCTCTCGTATTTTCCCACATCTAACAACAAACAACTCCAAATCAATAACTAATTAAAATGACTAATCAACAAGTTTTTCACCTGTCTTAGAGGGACAGGAGGCCATGGGTTTCTGGGAAACATGGTGGATATTCAAAATTGCCCCGAGCTCAAAACATGGTGGGCAAGCGGCAGCCAAGGCAGAGGAGATTCAATTACACTATTTCCAGTTTTGAGAAAACTTACTTTAAGCTAAGATAAGGTAAATGCAAATACTGTGAAAAAGAATATATCTGCATAGGAATTCGTGGCACTTCAAATATGAGAAGGCATGTTCCAAAATGCCCTCGTCGAGTGCAAAAAGATTCTCGCCAGATGATGTTAAATAATTTTGAAAAATTAGTGAAAAAAATTGATCAAGAAACTTTTAAAGAGTTGTGTGCTATGGTTGTTAGTAAGCATACATATCCTTTTATTTGGGTTGAGCATGAAGCTGTTAGGGAATTAATGAAGTATTCAAATGCAAAAGTAAAACCAATTTGTAGGAATACTGAAAAGAATCATTGCTTCAATATTTATAAGACGAAGAAAGAGAGGATTAAGGAGTGTTTGAAAAAACTGTTTGGTAGAATATGTTTGAGTTGTGACATGTGGACATCTGCTGTAACACAAGGATATCTATGTCTAACTACACATTGTGTTGATGATGATTGGAATTTGCATAGTTTGATTTTGAATTTTGTGCATATCCAACCCCTCCATACTGCTAGGAATTTATATAAAGTTGTGTATGACTTGCTTAAACAGTGGGGGATTGAGGAGAAAATTTTTTCAATTACATTAGACAATGCAAGAACTAATGATAATATGCAAGAGATTTTGAAAAATCAACTTAATCTTGAGAAGGCATTGTTGTGTAGGGGAAAATATTTTCATGTTAGATGTTCTGCTTATATCTTGAATCTGATTGTGCAAGAAGACTTTAAATTAGTTGATGAAAGTGTTAAGCAGATTAGGGAGGGGATAACGTATATAATTGCTTCTGAGGCTAGAATTTTGAATTTTAAAGATTGTGCTAAACATGTGGGTTGTGATTTGAGGAAGGCATTATCATTAGATTCCCCTACTAGGTGGAATTCTACACATGCCATGCTTGATAGGGCACTCTTATATAAAGAAGCTTTTATTACTTTTGAATTGGATTATGAGCATTTTAAATGTTCACTGGATGAAGAAGAATGGACTCGAGTTCTTAGAATTTCAGAGTTATTAACACCTTTTGTTGAAATTATTGTTTTGTTTTCTAGATCTAAATATCCAACAGCAAATTTGTACTTTAAATATGTGTGGATGATTGAATGGTACTTGTTGGATTATATGAAAAGTGAGGATGCATATTTAAGGGAGATGGCCAGTAGGATGAAGGATAAATTTGATAAGTATTGGGACTCTTACAGTGTGATACTTGCTTTTGGCATTATTCTTGATCCTTGTTACAAGTTAGACTTTGTAACATATTGCTACCAAATGCTAAATAAAGATGATGAGGAAAATAGAAGGTTGAGATTGAACATATTTCTAAATTGTTGTTTGATCTCTACAATGAATATGTAATAGATAACAACTCCAGTACTAGTAAGGAAAGTACAATAACAATAGATTCTATTTGTACCACTAGCAAAAGCATGATATTTAGCCAATTACAAGGTCGTAATCCCATCAAAGTAAATTTATGTACCATTTTTTTTTTTTGGTTTGTTGCTCTTAATTTTCCTCCATTTTTTTCTATGTTTTTGCCATTTTTAGTATATTTTTTACTCATTTTTGTTGCCATATTTTTGCAATTTTTGGTATATATTTCTGCTCATTTTTGCTGCTATTTTTATAGTATAAAACTATATTTCTACTATTTTATGGTTTGATGGCTGATTTTAGTGACTGCTGCTCATTGCTTCCTACGCTTTGATTGCCATGTTTTTGCAGTTTTTGGTATAATTTTCTGCTCATTTTTGCTGCCATTTTAGTGGTATAAAATTATATTTCTACTATTTTATAGTTAGGTGGCTAATTTTAGTAACTATTACTCATTGTTTCCTACACTTTTATTGCCATGTTTCTGCATGTTTCTGTAGTTTTTGGTATTTTTTTTGCTCATTTTGGCTGCCATTTTTTTGGTATAAAACTATATTTTTGCCATTTTATGGTTTAGTTGCTAGTTTTAGTGACTGCTGCTCATTGTTTCCTGCATTTTTATTGCTATGTTTCCGCAGTTTTTGATGTATTTTTTTGCTTCTTCTGGCTGCCATGTATAAAACGATATTTCTGCCATTTTATTGTTTAGTGGCTGGTTTTAGTGACTGCTGCTCATTTTTTCTGCACTTTTCTTGTCATGTTTCTGCATGTTTCTGCATTTTTTGGTTTCTTTTTCTTCTCATTTTTTCTGCAATTTTGGTGGTATAAAACTATATTTCTACCATTTTATGGTTTAGTTGCTGGTTTTAGTGACTACTACTCACTGTTTTCTGCACTTTTATTGCCATGTTTTTGCAGTTTTTGGTGTATTTTTCTTCTCATTTTGGCTGCTAATTTTTTGGTATAAAACTATATTTCTGCCATTTTATGGTTTAGTGGTTGTTTTAGTGACTACTACTCATTGCTTCCTGCACTTTTATTACCATGTTTCTGTAGTTTTTGGTGTAGTTTTCTGCTCATTTTGGCTGCCATTTTTTTGGTATAAAACTATATTTTTGCCATTTTATGGTTTAGTGGCTGGTTTTAGTCACTGTTGCTCATTGTTTCCTGAACTTTTCTTGTCATGTTTCTGCATCTTTTGGTATCTTTTTCTGCTCATTTTTTCTGCAATTTTGGTGGTATAAAACTATATTTCTTCCATTTTATGGTTTGGTGGCTGATTTTGGTGACTGCTGCTCATTGTTTCCTACACTTTTGTTGCCAAGTTTCTGCAAGTTTCTACAGTTTTTGGTATATATTTCTGCTCATTTTTTCTGTTATTTTTGTGGTGTAAAACTATATTTCTACTATTTTGTGGTTTGGTGGCTAATTTTAATAACTACTGCTCATTGTTTTCTGCACTTTTATTGCCATTTTCTGCAATTTTTGGTATATATTTTTTCTGCCATTTTTGTGGTATAAAACTATATTTTTGCTATTTTATGGTTTTGTGGCTAATTTTGAATAACTGCTGCTCATTATTTTTTCAACTTTTATTGCCATATTTCTGCAGTTTTTGATATATATTTCTGCTCATTTTTTCTGCAATTTTTGTGGTACAAAACTATATTTCTGCTATTTTATGATTTGGTGGCTGATTTTAACAACTGCTGCTCATTGTTTTCTGCACTTTTATTGCCATGTTTCTGCAATTTTTGGTATATATCTCTACTCATTTTTGCTGTCATTTTGGTGGTATAAAACTATATTTATGCTATTTTATGATTTGGTGGCTCTTATTTAAAGTAGGGTTTTCAAAGTTTTAATGTGGAAAAGATTCATACATCTGAATTACAACAGTATTTGGAGGAGGGAAGGCTTGCTTTAGAGTAGGATTTGGATGTCCTTGCTTATTGGTCTAGTAATGAGAGACGTCTTCCTAACTTGTCTAGGATGGCTAGAGACATCCTAACAATTCCAATTACCACAGTAGCTTCTGAATCTACATTTAGCATGGATGGGAGAATTATAAGCAACTTGAGGGGATCTCTTTTACCTCAAAATGCAGAAACTTTGCTTACAACTCAAACTTGGTTGCATGCATTTGGAAAGGAAGGTAATATGCTTCTTCTGTTTTTGTTAATTGAATCTACCTATTTTCAATTTGCAATTAAAGATGATTGTATTAAGAATGACTAATTTTAATCATGTATATTGATTTCTTTAAAAGCAGATGTTGAAGGTGAGGAGATAGGACATGAATTTCGTTTAGACTTAGACAATATAAGTATGACTTCTCCTCCTCCTACTAGTGAGCTTGGAAGAGTAGGACCATCTCAAGGACAAACTTTTACCATTTCAGAGGGTGAAGAAGATACCTCTTGAGGTAACTTTTATTAA